CGGGGACCCAGTCAAGACCAACGTTTCAAAAATTTTAGGGAAACTTTAGGGCCTTTAGGGTTTTGGGCGTTTAAGGTTTAGGGTTTAGGGTTTAGGGTTTAGGGTTTAGCTCCTAAATTCTCAACAAATCTGCCAAAATCAGCTGCGACGCTCGACCAGCAACCCCCGCACAGCCTGCAGCTCCTGCGGTGTTTGAGGGTTTAGGGTGGACCGAAAGGGCGCTGAGCATCTGGGGATCCGGATGAGGCGTCTTCATAATCATAAACCTGCAAGCTTAATCGAATTCTAATCAAGGGTCCCTGGCTTTCTGGAACTCCCATGTCTGGCAGGTAAGAAGACGAATGAACAAGACACCGCCAACAAGGAAACATACTATAGAAGCACCGGGTTTGGGGCTCTGCTATACCCGAGTGGTCAAAAGTAGCCCTACGGCACAAGATTTTCTATTTTTCGAACTTCTCAGTTCGCTCCAGGCACTGCGCTGGTGGGTTCTCCGAAGTGGGGATCCCTAAACCCTACACCCTAAACCCCTAAACCCTAAACCCCTAAACCCTAAACCCTAAACCCCAAAACCCTAAACCCTAAACCCCTAAACCCTAAACCCGTTTAGGGCCTTGTCTGCTCCATGGAGGGGGGCCCAGGGTTACGTCTTTAGTCTCGGGACCTGGATAGGGGGTGCTAGGGTTTTCCAGGGACTCAAAGGGGACCAGTACGAATCATTCAGAGCTCGATGTCTATGTTAGGCAAGGATTGGACACGAAGCAAAGACAAGAACCCCAGAAAGCTGCAAAAGCTTGAAGAGGAAAGTTCCTAGCTGATGGTTGAGGTCCTAAATGGCAGCATACTTTTGTATTAATATCGTCAACGGAAATCCCCAAACCATAAAGTCATGAACCCAAAGAACCCTAAACCCAAAAAACCCTAAACCCCAAATCCCAAAGCGCCCAAAAAAACCTAAGATCTGAACCCATTTAAGGAAATCCCTAACCCCCGAAACAGCCCCAAACCTTGAACCCAAAGCCCTGAACCCTAAACCCCAAGAAGGCCCCCACTTCGCCGACGTCTGAAACCCTCAAATTCAAACTTTTCTGCCTCCTGATTGGGAGTAGACAGGCATCCCAACCATCAACCGTGAGAGCCAACCCTGGACCTTAGGGTCCCTCATCATGGGTTCTATATATATATATATGTATGTATGTATATATATATATATAGAGAGAGAGAGAGAAAGAAAGAGAGAATTTTTTGGTTTCTATATAGGTAGGTCTTCTCGGCTACAGGTAAACCTTAAACCCTAAACTCTGAACCCCAAACCCTAAACCCTAAACCCTAAACCCTAAACCCTAAACCCTAAACCCTAAACCCCAAACCCCAAACCCTAAACTCTGAACCCTAAACCCTCCGATGAGGCCTTGTACAACCCCGCCCGGGCATAGGGCGGCACATTGTAGGAGACGAGACCTCGGTTTTCGTGTTTAGGGTTCCTTGTTGGGTTTAGGGTTTAGGGTTTAGGGTTTAGGGTTTAGGGTTTCGTGTTTAGGGTTCCTTGTTGGGTTCCTTTCAGGGTCTATCAGGGTTGCTGTTTTCTCTGCTTTCTTCCCGCCGAGTTCAGGGCGTGTGGCTTCGCGGCGGGTGCTTCTTTTAGGTCACCCCAAGCCCCCCTACATCCAAACCCCTAATTAGGCTTTTGGGTCTTGGGCTTTATGGTGCTGGCATCGGGTTTGGAGCTCGTGTAGTGCTAACTGTTTCAAAGTTTCGGTCCAGGATTTGTGCTGTAGGTTTCTGGGTTTACGCTGTGAATAGGCCGGGGTTGGCAATAGCGTTGCTAGGGATTTGAGACACTAGGCAGTTTTCACCTGCACTCTTGCTCCGTGTGACACAAACGGAGCAGCTGTTATCTTGCTGCTGTTGCTCTTACACCCATACTGATGAGTGGCTTCTACTACGAATGCCGATGTTGCTGAGTAGTAGGGGCAGCAGCAAGTGGCTGGACACGGCTAGTAGCAGTGGCTTGCTGATGTT